AACTCGCTTTGTGAAACCGAAAACCCAGAGTTTTCGTTAACTCAGGGTATACTTACTCAGAGTTTGCACTAAACCGGCTTCCTGAAACAGGGCCCTGGTGTGACAGACAACAACCACACAGTACAAACCATGACTCCATGACACTGACTCATAACAACTTATTTGTATTTTTTTTTTGCATTTATTCCAAGCTATCTCGTGGTAACTTAAACTTACAATGGCCTTTCTTACCCAGATATGAGCATATATTTCAAACAACTTACATTGAAAACTTGGTCCTACTAGAATGTGAGGAAAAAGTGTTAATGAGAAAGTGATACTTGTCATTTGGTTGTTTTAACTCAACATTATTTTGGTGAAGCCTGAGGAGAAACCCGATGGGAGTTTCTTTTGCAGGTTAAATAATGATTTCCTTTGTGCTTTTCTTAATGTTTGTCTTTGTAGCTGTAGATGCTGGGTTAGAAATAAACAGTAAGATTTTGCTGAGAAAAAAAAATAATGCTAGGTAGAAAACACGTGCATGTGTGAATGAGGCATGTTGAATAAAGGACCTTGAGTGCTCAACTAGAGTGGAAAATGAAACAGTACAATTCAGAATGTATTTGAAACAAACAAAACTATTTAATGTAATTTTCCAACTGATTGGATAATTGAATCTTGTACACTGATAAAACTCACAGATGAACTTGGTCATGAGTTCTGCTACTAGTGCTTTTCTACTCTTCTGGAGCACTTTATACCACATGGCTCATCACACAAGCACTTTTTCTATAAACATTTACACATGTTCATACTCCCACAGATGCATCAGTGAACAACTTGGGGTTAGTATCTTGGCCAAGCCAAGGATTGAATCCCCAAGTGGACGAGTACTCATATGATGCTTTTCTACTCTAACTGAGCATTTCCTACTACAAGCCGTATTCATCCAGGCACACACACATTCATACAAACACTTTTTTCCATTCCAAGATTTGTTTGTCTTACATTCACAAATGCTCAGGCTTGGTAACATGCCACTAACCTCCTGACTGGTAAACATCAACCTCTACCACACTGAGATGCCTGTTGACTCTGAAGGGTTCTTCTCTTTGTTTTCCTTTCCTGGGCCACTACTTTTGAGAGCTAATTTCATCATATAGTTTGAGACATTGAACAATGTGATATTGAACCACATTTGCTTAATAGAATGGGGATTCTGCTACCCTGCCCTCTACATATATGTTACTAACCAGCTCATAATTTGAGAAAATTCAGTAACTTAACATTGATAGAAGAGAACTATTGCAACAGTATTTGTTTCTGTCTGTACTTGCATTACTCATGAGAGAGAAATGTGTTTGAGGTCCCTATGCTGTAGGGTGAGCTAACGTTAGGTTTGGGTTTGTGTTGGAGAAAGTGTAGAGGGAAATAATGGAAGTCAAGTAAGTAGTACTGGATGTCTGAATGGTGAAGTGAAAGACAGTCAGGGCAGAGTCATAGCTGGAAGAATATTTTGTTGTTGCTGGGAATTTGTGTCAACTCAGTTTGTACTCGAACAATCATCTGTTTGACAGGTTGCTCTCCTTGTGTAACTGGTCTGGACAAAAGGAAAGCAACCTGTTGGATTTTTAAACTTCTGGCAGTTCATCTCTTTCGGCATGCCAGCTCTTTGTAGGTTTACTCAGTCACATAGACTAATATGCATCTCTTATTTGCACAACAATAGGAATATTAACTGTAGTCATGCAGAGCTAACTCAAAATATGCACACATTATTTATTGTTTCACTTGGTAGTATGGAGAATTGAGACAATAATGGAGAATGGAGAAAACAAACCAGTCTTTACCATGAGAAGACTCATATTTGAGTATTTGTAAAGAAATTTAATATGTAGGATTAAAGAAAAATGGAGGTGGAGGAATCTGTACTCATTTGTCCCATTGCACAATTATTTGGCTTATAATTTGGTTTCAGAAATGACTTGTTCACTGACATATTCTCCATTCAGTAATTGACAATAGCAATGAAATTGACAGGATGACTAACACCATAATGTTTTTATATCTAGGAAAACCTTCATCTGATATGTAGCTGCTGGCAGAAACCAAACTTGTGACTAGAGCTTGCAGTGGAACGACATTAGTTGTAATGCTGATCATGTTGGCATTGTGACCCATGCATATTCAGCTAAATTTGCTAAAGACTTCCATGATAGACACACACAGATTCATCAGATAGGCTCATATCTGCTATGGCTTTGCAACTTGCACTTATGTTTCTGAGTGCCATTTATATTATATTTACACTTCTGACCTCTCTTGAGGACAAAGAGGCACAATTATACTTTCAACATTTTCAGTAAATGTTTGTATGTGACATTTTGGGGTGGTGGTGGTTTGGTATTTGGTACATTTTTGTATCGTTTGTATTATTATTATTTTTAATTAGCTGAGATTACTTATTCTTTCTTATACATTATTTCTTTTTCTTAAGACCCAGAGTCAGGAATGTTTTTGTTTGTCTGAGTGAGTGATATATATTTTATGTAAGGGTGTATCCAGAATTCACAAAAACATAAAAATTCCATTTATCAAATGGAAGTACTTTTAAAATTCAGCTATATGTCACGGGTCTGGGTCCGTTGGACC